TTCTAGTGGAGTACCACTCTTCTTACTACACACACACACACACACACACACACACACACCAGATGCCTAATATTTAAATAACTATGTAACGGCATGGTACCCCACCTCTCCTGAGCACCCCTTCTGATTGAGTGTGTCTGCTGTCCTTAAATAGTCCCGGCCCTGGTATCGGGCCATACCCCCAGGGCTTCCTGCCTGGAGGCAATGGTTTTGCCCTCTTAGTCTATTCTGGTTCCTAGCTCCCCAGCTGGGCCACTAAGTAGTTCAGTTCCTTTTCTGGGGGTTTATTGCTGTCCGATTGTTGGCCAGCTCCTCAGTGGCTATGGGAGGGACCTCTGGTCCACCCACTACTCTGGGTCCCAGCCCAGGGACCGTAAGAATAACAGCCATGTGCCATCGTGTCTCTAATTACACTGCTTTCAGTTCCCTGGGCCACTTCCCCAAGGCTCCAGCCTTCACCAAAGCTTCACCCTTACCTCAGGGCTCATCTAATTTCAGGCCCAGCAGCCAGGCAGGAGCTTTTCCTTGCTCCCCTGGTCCCTGCCAGCACTGAGCTGTCCATGGTGCTGCAGTTCCCTCTGGTCAACCAGGAACACCATATGCACTCCTCTAGCTCCCTGGTTCTCAACCAGGGGTTTGCATACCCCTGGGGGTACACAGAGGTCTTTCAGAGGGTACATCAAGATATTTGTCTATTTTAGACAAAGCTACATAAAAAGCACTAGCAAAGTTAGTACAAACTAAAATTTCATACAGACAATGACTTGTTTATATTTCTCTATATACTATACACTGAGATGTACATACAATATTTATATTTCAATTGCTGTAGTTTATAATTCTATGTAAGACTACGATTTAGTCACAGGTATTTTTAGTAGAAGTCATGGACAGGTCACGGGCAGTAAACAAAAATTCATGACCTGTGACCTGTCTATGACTTATACTAAAATTACCTGTGATTAAATCTTGGGGGGGGGGTGCTCAGAGGGTGTGAGGGCGCTGCTGGAGGACATCCATGGGGGGGCACTGCTGGGGGGGAGGCGCTGCTTCTGGGGGGGCGCCCAGGGCCAGTGACACCAGCTGTCCGGGACTGCGGACTGCAGCTGCTCCGGCCGGACATCCAGGGACCGCTGCTGGGGGTCGCAGACCATGGCTGCTCTGTCCAACTGCCCAGGGACCGCTGCTAGGGACAGTGGACCACAGCTGCACTGGCCTCTCCGGGACTGCTGCTGTGGGCCGCAGTAGCAGCAACTGGTGTGGCTGTTCCCAGGGCTGCTCCAGCAGCGGCTGGTGTGGCTGTCCTGGGAGGCCACCTGAGCAGCTGGCCCCAAAGCCACCTGCTCAGGTGGCCCTAGAGCCACGCTGGCCCCTGCAGATGTCACAGTGATCGTGGAAAGTCACGAAATCCATGACTTCCGCGAGTTCTGTGACAGACACAGAGCCCTAATGATATGGTAAAAACGAGAAAGTCAGCAATTTTTCAGTAATAGTGTACTGTGACACCTTTGTATTTTATGTCTGATTTTGTAAGCAAGTAGTTTTTAAGTGAGGTGAAACTTGGGGGTACGCAAGACAAATCAGACTCTGGAAAGGGGTACAGTAGTCTGGAAAGATTGAGAGCCACTGCTCTAGCTCCAACATGGAACTGGCTTTGGCGCTGGAGCTTCTTTTATATGGCCCTCCTGCAGCCTTTCTGACTGGCTTCTTCCCCTGCAGCCAGTCTAGGCTACTTGGAGGAGTCCTCTACTGCTCCTTTCCTGGGATGGGCGTGGCAGGACACTGAAGCCTCTAGTAAGGGGTCTTTTGGCCTAGTCCACCCTGAAACACCATTCTAGATTTTTCTGTTATCTTCCTGAATTAAGTAATATTGCTTAGGTTTGTGCTCAGCCTTTTAGAAACAGAGTTCAGAACCATCTAGTCCAGTGGTCCCCAACCTTTCAGTGTGGTGGGCGCCAGATGACTAGCCACCGAGGAGTGCGGCCGCCGGACAAGTAGCCGCCGAAATGCCACCAAGAAGCACCGGGCATTTCAGCGGTGATGCTTCTTGACATTGTTGGTGGCGGGGCACTCCCTTGTCAGTAGGCGGGCGCACATAGATGCTCCGGCGGGCGCTAGGGCACCTGCGGGCACCGCGTTGGGGACCACTGATCTAGTTTATGTTAGTTGAACTGTGCAGCCTGTTTCTTCATTCTATAGACAGAAGATAGTTTGCTATCTTTTAAAATTATTATTCCTTTTGAAAACAAAACTGTTCCCTGATTGAAGATGTTTTTAACTATTCAGCTACTTTATTTTTCAATGATGGAATTCCAGTGTTACTATTGAGGCATGTTCTGTCAGAAACGTTGTGCATTCTTCTCCTAGCACAGGTTTCAAGTACCCTCTTGTGAATGAAAATGGCATTGCACCAGTTAAATTGTAATGTACTCCAAGCATTAGTGAACAAGGCTGATTGGAGAGAGACGATTTTATTTATTCAATCATAGTTTGCTACAATTGGTTTCGTTATTAAAATTTAATCTACTTCTGATTATTAAATCATAGTTGGGTGACTTATTCCAATAATTATAAAAATAATCATATAATACTTATATTGTACTTTATGATCTTCAAAGTACAACATGCTTATTAATTAATTAACCCTCCCAGGATTTCTGTGAAGAATCCTAGGTAAATATTCTTACACACATTTTTGCAGATGGGGACCTGGAGACACATAAGAGATTTAAGGCCCAAACTTAATATTTCCACTCATTTGGGGTACCTCAATTTTTGATGCATGCCTGGAAATATGAAGAGCCTAGTTTTCAGAGGTATGAGCACCCATCATTCCAGTCAGACTCAGCAAGAGCTGTGTGTTCTCAGTACCTCTGATTACAAAGCCCTCAGAAATGGAGGAACCCAAAATCAGTGGATGCTTTTAAAAATTTAGGCTTTTGTGATTTGCCCAAGGCCATGCAATGAGTTATTGCCTGGCTCCTAGGCTCTACTCAGTCCACTAGAGCTGCCTTCTTAATAAAGTTTAGTTCATGTTAAGTAAGATAAATGTACTCGCTGTCCATGATTTATACTGTTTGTTAGACCCATTTAGCAATGTAATTTTTATGGATTTTCCCTAGAACTGATGTCTGCCCATGAACTGGAAAAGAAAGAATTGGAAGAGAGTTTTGAAAAACTGCGGCTGTCACTCCAGGTTAATACTTTCGTTGTGTCCAAACCCCAATGATGTTGCAAAACTGTTCATTATGATAGCACGTTAGTGAAATGGAATTTTCTCCATCAGTCTGAGGGCACGGGTGCTGTATAGTTACTGACCCTCAACTGCACGGCGTTCTCGTAAGGCAGTTCCCCGCACACTCATTGGTTCTGGATGTCTGATTTGCAAAATTACCATGCCGATAGTTCTCAATAACTATAGTATGTGAATCCCTGCACTCTGATTGGCTAATTGCCATTATTAGTCAATCAGAGTTTAGGGATTTGCATAATTACTGTATGATGATTTTTAAATAACTGTCCAGCAATTATGCACATTTTATCTGTGCCGATTGGCTAACCCCGCTGCTCTGCTTGGCTCTTTTGCTCATTCTTTTCAAGCTGTATGTTAGCTACAAAGATGCCTCCTCAGCTTCTCTCCCTCCAGCGGAAGCAGCAAAACGCTAAATGTGCCTGAAGGAGAAGAGGCAAAACCCCAAAAACAAAGAAATTGCAGATGAGGAAATGGATTTTAAGAAGTTTTTTAAAAACTGTTTTGATTCATTCGCCTTCTTCAGGCCCATCTTGCTCCCAGCAAAATGAATGGGAGCAGAATCTAGGTTTTCCTATCCATCCCAGCAGGACTCTTGTCCTCAGAATAGTTTTATATACCAATTTGTAAAATAGTTTTCTGAAGCAAATCTCCCCTTTTGGTTCTGCAGCTCTAATCTGTCGCTTGCACTGTCCTGTCTCTGTTTACCTGGCACAATTTCTCTCCATAATGACCAGCTGAAAATCAGATCAACTTAAAATGGTTATAGTAAAATTCAGCTGTTCTGGTTCTCTAGACTGAGATAGAAATCCACCGGGGAAAGTGTGTCCCTGTGATGCATGTAAATTTGGAGCTCTTGCATGAACAAGTAAAGGTGCCATGTTAAATGGTGTTAGCTCTGCTTGTTTATCTAGTCAAAGACTAATTTTGCTTTTCAAAAAACAAGTAACGTGCACGATTCCACACAGCTATTGCAGCAGCATTGACTGTGCAGCTATAGAATTTAAAGTTGTATCAGTGGTTCTATTATTTGATGCAATAAACTACATTAATGGAAGGTTATGGTTAAGATTTTACACACACAAAAGACAGAACATCAAAATTATTGGCCTCCACAGCAACTGCAGCTTTTGCAGATGCTGTACATAAGGTAGTAATATTAAAATCTTGACCTAATAATCTGTCCAGAAAAGTGATTGTATTAAAATGGTGCATTGTTTCTCAAATCATTGATCCCCTGCTGTGTGTCTTGCTTACTTACAAAAATAAGATTTCCCTGCTATCGTGCAAAGTTATCCACAGGCCATAATCAGGAACTCTGTGCTCATCATGACTATTAAATAATGCACCTGCATCAGTACTGAATCTTCCAAGACAGTGGTTCACTGAGTTTAACATTTAAAATCCTTTCTTCCATAAAGTAATTAAAGAGACTAGCTACAGTAGTAGGATCAATAGCACCTACATGTTTCAGTCTGAAGCCTTCACCAGGGTCAAAAGTACATTGATTGTCTCATGAATCCCATCACTGATCTAGGTGAGTTGTTTTATAACCTGTAGTATTGTTTTAGTGCTGCAGAGCTAATGCCGTGAAGAAAGAGTAAGCCGGATTCTGTTCTGCCTCATACATCATCATCATCAAAAGAGTTACCTACATTATGACTGCAGAATCTCTGCCATTGCTAATGATGCAAGAGGCAAAAAGAACACAACATAGTTTTCAGATCCCAAGTTAAATTTTCTAGCAAGGCAAAGGAAGAAGCGTTGCAAGCAGATCCTTTATTACTTGGCTCCACAATCCTTAATTCCCCACCCCATCGTTTTCCTCATGTAGATGGCAGAGATCCCAGATGCTGCTAAAGCTGATGGATAGTGGCTATGCAACTATTCTAAACCAAGCTGCTGGACTGAGAGGGAATTATTTTCTCCTAACCCATCTGAGGCCTCCTAGGAAAGCCCATTTATTTGGGCTTTAGCATTTGGTCCTTAGAGTGGTGTGAATCACCCCCTTTCATCTTAGTGGAGTGTTAACTCTGAAACATAATGATGACAGTCCAAAGTCAATAATGTTAACTCTTTCCAGTGGTGGCGCTGTGAGGGGGGGGAGCTGGCAAGGGCTATTGCCATCCCAAAAATTGCCTTAGCCTCCCATAGCCATCCCTCCCAATGCAAAGGTCAAATATTATGCAGATACTTCTCAGCTGCTGCTGGCGGCAGTGCTGCCTTCAGAGCTGGGTGCCCACCACTGTCTGGCCACCCAGCTCTGAAGGCAGTGCCATCTCCAGCAGCAGTGCAGATGTAAGCCCAGAAAGGAGGCCGGGAGGCCCGAGAGCAACCCCTGGTCTGTGTCCCCGCCCGCCGGGGCACACCACTCAGGGCAGGTGGAGGGTCCATGGTTCCGCACAGCAGCCTGGACTGACCCACTCCAGCCCATGCTCCGGGGCCCTGCCGCCATGGTTGCTGCTCTCTGAGGGCTCTGCCGGCCGTGGAGCCAGGTCCCCCTGCCCAGGAAGCTCTTACAGGCGCAGCCCTACCTATTTTCTGCCTAGCCCACCTCAGTCTCCCCACCGGGAAGAAACTGGCACCGCCTCTGACTCTTTCACTGCTTATCATTTTAGCAGAGATATCTAGCTGCTCTGAAGCTTGGGACTGTGAGCAGCATTTGAGTATCTCCCCATGCTGATCCCTGAGGAGCAGTAACCTTATAGAGGTTATCTGCTTCATGAGTATGACACAAACATGCCTGTCCTTCAAAGCAAGGAGACTGGGTCTCACACAGCTAAAAGGGCTGGGATGTCTTAGCTTGATGCAGGTTTAGAAGCTGCTGTTGGTGGCTAATTTAAGCTAGCCACATGATTAATCTCAGGTTCTCCACATGAAATCCTGATTCCGTTAGTTACCAAGTTATCAAAATCTCCACTGCGAGTTTGAGTGATTCCATGTAAAAATGTCCTCTCACGGTAGCTTCTAAGCCCTTCTCCTCATTGCCCTCACATACTTTGGCAGTGGTGGGAAATGATTTGTATAAAAGTATCATCAGAGCTTAATGGTTTAGGGTTTTTATTTGTCATTAATTGCAGGACCAAGTAGATACCCTCACCTTCCAGAGCCATTCTCTAAGGGACAAGGCAAAGCGATTTGAAGAGGCGTTAAAGAAAAACACTGAAGAGCAACTAGAGGTAGCTGACAGCCTTAATATACATTTCAAAAACGGCAGGACATGCTTGTAAATATGGCCACATTGGTAGGTTATTAGCAAAGGAAATCTCAGCTCAAATGGGCCCGAACCAAAGCTCTGGAACCTGAGCTTTGTAGGGGGGTTTGGAATCTAAGAGTGGCTCTGGATACAAAGATCTCCCACTCTCTCTTATTGTTGGGTCATTAGCCATCCATTTCTGGTTTTGCTTCATTTTGTCTATATCTCACTAGCATCCTGCCTCTATAGTTCTATTTCTTGGGCTTTTTCTCTGGCTCCCTCTGTTACTTTTTTAGTACCCTCTAATCCTCTCTCTCCTCCCCTCTGTGGTGTTTCTCCTTCCTCTTCGCTCTTCTCATATTTTCATATGAATGTGCCTCTCCCCCTCACCCTGCTGGGATTCTTTGCTGTCCCTCTTCATTTCTTCTGTAATGGACTGTCTGACCCTGAGATATCAGAGAAGAAGTCTATTCCATCAACATCCTGTTCAAAATACGACAAATCGATAGAATCCCTAAAGCTGATGGTCGAAATGAAGCCCATTATTAGCAGACTCTATAGGAAATTGGTCCTAATGAAGACCATTTTCTAACTTTGTGCCCCACCTACCTTTTGAGAATTCAGAACTCCCCCCTTTCTAGTGCATTGGCACTTTCCATGGGCTAGACTGAAGTCAGCGCCTTCTTCTTTCCACCAGAGCAGCACAAAACAACTGAGCTGGTGAACTTGCCCTCTCAGAGCAAAATGTGTGTAAAGGGCCAGATTCTGTTCTGAGTTACACTGCTGTAAATCCAGAGTATTGACACCAGCGACAGTGGAGTGAGTTGTACCATTGTAAAGCCAAAGTAACTGAAGTCGTTGGTGTTACTCTGGATTCTATTCAGTGTAATTGAGAAAAAAATGTGGGCCAGTACTGCTTTGGTAAATGGAACCCTAGCCCCCTAACTTCAGAAGTACTAAGCTGGAATGGGGAGTATCTTTGTGTCCTGATTCACTGTCTTTCTCCCCTCTGGGAGTTGAATCTTTATGACTAGTTCACCTGTTTTGCCACACACATCACAGACAGAGTGATCCGCTATTGTTCTAACCTGCAAACACCCAGCCCCAGTCTCTGAACTTTGTTGCTATTTCACACTTGTGCTCTTCTACAGAAAGGGTAAAACTCTGCACAGACAGAAACAATTCTGTATATTAGGAGACTTAGCAGTGGGTCGGGTTGTGGGTGCTGAGTAACATTCGGACCTCTTTCACCTACTGCAAGTACCTCCACCACCTTGTCTCTCTTAGGAAATTAGGTATTCAGCTAAAGTGATTCAATTGTTATTAATGGTTCCCAATCCTGCTGGAAAGGCATAACAAGTGGGGTTCCGCAGGGGTCTGTTTTGGGACTGGCTCTGTTCAATATCTTCATTAACGACTTAGCTATTGGCATAGAAAGTACACTTATTAAGTTTGCAGATGATACCAAACTGGGAGGGATTGCAACCGCTTTGGAGGACAGGGTCATAATTCAAAATGATCTGGACAAATTGGAGAAATGGTCCGAGTTAAACAGGATTAAGTTTAACAAAGACAAATGCAAAGTGCTCCACTTAGGAAGGAAAAATCAGTTTTACACATACAGAATGGGAAGAGACTGTCTAGGAAGGAGTACGGCAGAAAGGGATCTAGGGGTTATAGTGGACCACAAGCTAAATATGAGTCAACAGTGTGATGCTGTTGCAAAAAAAGCAAACATGATTCTGGGATGTATTAACAGGTGTGTTGTGAGCAAGACATGAGAAATCATTCTTCCGCTCTACTCTGCTCTGGTTAGGCCTTAGCTGGAGTATTGTGTCCAGTTCTGGGCACCGCATTTCAGGAAAGATGTGGAGAAATTGGAGAGGGTCCAGAGAAGAGCAACAAGAATGATTAAAGGTCTTGAGAACATGACCTATGAAGGAAGGCTGAAAGAATTGGGTTTGTTTAGTTTGGAAAAGAGAAGACTGAGAGGGGACATGGTAGCAGTTTTCAGGTATCTAAAAGGGTGTCATAAGGAGGAGGGAGAAAACTTGTTCACCTTAGCCTCTAAGGATGAAACAAGAAGCAATGAGCTTAAACTGCAGCAAGGGAGGTCTAGGTTGGACATTAGGAAAAAGTTCCTAACTGTCAGGGTGGTTAAACACTGGAATAAATTGCCTAGGGAGGTTGTGGAATCTCCATCTCTGGCGATATTTAAGAGTAAGTTAGATAAATGTCTATCAGGGATGGTCTAGACAGTATTTGGTCCTGCCATGCGGCCAGGGGACTGGACTCGATGACCTCTCGAGGTCCCTTCCAGTCCTAGAATCTATGAATCTATGAATGGTGATAGTGGGTAACATTTTCAAAACAACCCCAGTGATTTCGGAGCCTGCATCCCCTTGACTTTCATGGGAGCTAGGCTCTAAATCAGTTGGATGCTTGGGAAAATTTTACCAAGTGGCTGAATATGTGATTATGGTTGGAAGACTTAGAATTCACTGTCATCCTTCTTTTCCTAGGTTGCACTAGCTCCATATCAGCACTTAGAAGAAGATATGAACAGCCTGAAGCAGGTTTTGGAAATGAAGAATCAGCTAATTCATCAACAGGAAAAGAGGATCATGGAACTGGAAAAGCTGGTCAGTTATCATTTTCCCCTCACAGAACAGGGAGATAGGAAGCCAGGAGCTAAATTGGAGTGAAGGAGGCCGGGACTGGAAAAAACACAATGAAGGGATCACAAAGGGCTAAATACTGTTTTCTGCCCCCTGCCCTTTCCTGTGAAGTGTCCCAGTTTTTCATTCTGAAAGGGAGAGTGGGAAGGAGGTGCTTCTTTTTATCTACTTCTCCACCAGCCTCCTACCTCCCACATGACATCCCCAAAACCTCTCCATGACTCCCTGCGCTGGTCTTTCTGGTTTTCATTTTGAAATCTGCTCTGCCTGCAGGGGAGGTTAGGTAGGGGAGGAGACAGTGGAGGAGGGGGGCCTCTGTGATACCTATAACATATATACCTATAACTAAGTATGGGGCACCAGCTGTCCCCTGCCTCCAAAGTCAGGAGTAGGGGCAGCCAACAAGGTGGGAGGAATATGGGTGGAAGAAGGAGACACTTGTGCCATGTGGCTCTTTAATTCAGTATTCGGCATGAAGTCTTGCCTCAGTAGTGTAAATTAGCGAGGGGCAACCAGAAATCCCAGGTTAGGGTCACATTGCAAGTGCTTTGAATTATAGCTCCCCACCATAAAGATAACACTGCCTCCTAGCCACTCCATTCTCTCTCTCTTCGTGTTTTGGTCTCCCCAGGTATGAACTTTTCAGTTAACCAGGAGTTACATTTTCACTGTAAAGTGGAGCCATTTTGTGAGACTTGACCTGTAGGCTTCTAGCGCAGTGACAGGATGAGCCATTGCCACGACGGGGCAGCCGGGCTGGCTGCTTTAGCACAGCACTTAGCAAGCTTTGCTGCTATTTATGGGGAAGTTTGGGAACCCAGTTGATTATTTTGTTGAACTGTCCAACTGCTGGTGTGAACGGATATAGAGTGAAATAGCTCTTCGCAGCTGAGACTTCTTAACAACACACTGTAACATGCTGCTTCCTTAAGCTAGAGGAATGGGGAAACGGCTGATACAGTTACATTCACTGGCCTAGGTGGACTCCAGTCATTCTGCTTGTGCTATTTCTCAACCAGGCCAGACAGTAGGATTCTACTTCCACTATGGATATGATTTATATAACCCTGTTACAGAAGGTCTCAATGTGGGGGGGTGACCCCAGCAGATGTCAGGGGATCATGACTCCCCTGCCCTTTGGGAGGGAGAAGTCGGACACTTCAGTGCCATACAAGTGTGACATGCTGGTAAATCATTTACAACCAAAAATCCCATCTGCAGCCAGAATAATCTACCTTCCTTTGACAATGATTCTTAGCTGTTACTGTAAGAAAAATAGAGCTTCTTCCTAGGGATTAAAATCCAAATTCCCCTGCATCAAGTGCTGCAATTGCTGTAAACTCAACGAGCCCTCTCTTGTTGCAGGCTGAAAAAAATACAATATTGGAAGAAAAAATTCAGGTGCTGCAACAGCAGAATGAAGACATGAGAGTCCGGATTGATCAAAATACCGTTGTGACAAGGTTTGTACAGATACTTGTAACCATCTGAGTTTTACAGGAAACAGTAAAATTACAACTATCCATGGCTAACAGCCGCTTCAGAAACAGTAAAACTAAGCATATTTCCCCCCTTGAAATTTATTTTAATTCCCATCTGCTTATTTTAGCATAAAGGAGGTTGGCTACATATCATGTTACATTAAGCTCCCGGCCTCATCACTGAGAACAAAAGTCCCAGTTGCCTCTGAGTTCAGACTCAATGCCACACTATTAGTCAGCGGCTAGTGGGTGCGGGAGAGCTACCAGTTTGAACAGTAATATACTAACTGTGCTGGTAGCCTCACTGTACCTAAGGCTGCTTTAGCATATTAAATTATATTATATTGCACTAGAAACTTTTGTGCTAGGCGCCATATAAATAGAGAACAAAAAGACAATCTCTGCCCCAAAGAGCTTACAACCTAAGTGTAAGACACCAGACAACAGATGGATACAGAGAGACGGGGGAGTACAAGGAAACAGTGAGATAATACTGATAGGTTGTGGGCCGAGCACACCAACAACCTAACCGCTATCAAGTTTTTTGTAGGCATTATGGCAAAACAAATGGTATCACATCTCAACCATTTCCAGTCTCACCAGGTTAACACCCAATGTCAATTAGATACAATTATTTTCTACAAATATTTGCAGAAAGGATGCTGCTAAGTTAAAGAAGAGTTTCTCCTTAGTGGCTGGGTTTCCTTACGGATCTTAACTTCAGGAGTCTCCTAATATATGTATGAACCAAAGCTTCCTGAACATAGCTATTTAAAAGCAAATATTCCCCATCAGCATTCATCTAGGACTGTGGTTTTCAACCTGTGGTCGCAGACTCCTGCAGGTCTGCAGACTATCTAAGATTTCCAAAGGAGTCCACACCTTGATTTGAAAATTTTTAGGGGTCCACAAATCAAAAAAGGTTGAAACCACGGATATAGGCAATAGGTTCCTACAGTCACTAATAGGTGTTGTGTTTTGTTTCTTTTATATACATTTCTCAGTGTGGGGAATGTTGAGGATACTGAACTTAATATCTACCTGGAAAGTCAACTTTAAAGCAAATCATTTTTCAGCCTTGTTACATAGGTATAGGGAGGGGTTAATATAAGAATTTTAATACAGAGACATTTAATGACATCCAGTAGTTTGTCTCCAACAGAGGTTAATGCCTGATGGTTCAGAGGAAGACATAAAACTCCCACAATTCACCCTGTTATGTATGGGGTGAAATGTCTTCTTGCCTTCAATTGGTGGTCAGGTTGAACAACAGACAGGAGGATAGCCCATATCATTTTATCTTAGTTAGTGTAACAGCAGGGACTATTCTCATTCACAGAAATGTGTAATCCTTTAAAATAATCTATGGCGCTGCTTGCCCCCTTCAACAAGGGCTCTGTCCAGTCCACAGCGTAAACCTCTAAAAGGCACATAGCTTAGCCCTGCACTAGGCCAGCTCCAGAAACCCCTCTGCCACTCAAGGGGGTAACACAAGCCAAACCCTCAGCGCTGCAGTGTACAGTAGTGGAGCAGCTCGGGCAGAGTGATGGGTTCATGTACTGGGCGATCTAAGATCATATAGTGAGCAGTACCCAAGCCCCCTGTTCCTCTGCCACCTTCTGGGCAGATGCAGGGAATAGGAGTGACCCCCTGCTGCTTGACCTTATTAGGAAGGAGAGAGGCAGCCCCACTCTGAGATGGGGATATGAAAAGATCTGTATATGGGGGGATCTGCATAACTGCAGTGGTGGGGGTTCCTGACGCCCAATCAGATGGCGTGGTGGGGGGCTCCCACAGTGGAAGGCGGGAATCAGCGTATCATAGAATCATAGTATATCGGGGTTGGAAGGGACCTCAGGAGGTCATCTAGTCCAACCCCCTGCTCAAAGCAGGACCAATCCCCAACTAAATCATCCCAGCCATTGTCAAGCCTGACCTTAAAAACTTCTAAGGAAGGAGATTCCGCCACCTCCCCAGGTAACCCATTCCAGTGCTTCACCACCCTCCTAGTGAAAAAGTTTTTCCTAATATCCAACCTAAACCTCCCCCACTGCAACTTGAGACCATTACTCCTTGTTCTGTCATCTGTTACCACTGAGAACAGTCTAGATCCATCCTCTTTGGAACCCTGTTT